CAACGAATCTCATTGGACGAAAGCGTTTCCTATGCTTTCTTCACTTAGTGGGGTGTACTACATAGTTTGAATCAAACATTCTCCTCATGATTTTAATTTAAAAAGTCTTAAAGTGGAATCATTCAAATTAATGTCTTAGAAAGCTTCTTTAAAGTGTTAATAGGGTTTGCGTTAAAAAAATACCAATTTTAAACACAAATTTTTGACCGTGGTTTCTTCAATTAAGGTGATGATTACATGTTAAAATACGTGTGTGAATTTCGAAATCGCCTTGTCACTTTCTCGTCTGCCGATGGATTTGTTCTCTCCTGTAATTGGTCAGTTAGGACTCTTTCTCTCTCGTTATGCGTAAAGCAAGTGTTCGAACGTGGGCGGAAACGGAAATGCATCATTAGATTCGGATGAAATCTTCAATCAGTATACATCATAAGTAATTCTTAGGGGTTACTCACGGAACTTTTTTGCTTCTTGAATCACCCTATTATTATTAAACTAGCGCGAGACTAAGATTTAAAGGCGATGAACAACTTTCCAAAATCGCACAAAGAAGGTATATGTTACCGCTTATGATCCGCTGATTCGAGCTAAAATTGCGGTGAGCATCACCCCTCCCCCCACCTTGCCCTAACCCTAAAGCCTGACTCACTGGTATCCGGAACTTGTTGTGTGACTTGTTGCGAATAAAGGTAGAGCAGATTAGTCTCATTAGCGTAAATTTCCTGTGTTAGGGATGTAAATGAAAACACTCTTCAAGGACGAATTAATAACGGCAGGGCAGCCTGCTCAAATACGTTGCATTCAAAGGGAATTAGAGATTTACCCTAAAACTGTAGATGCTGGAATATCCTCGCGGGCGGAGTGCTTTGGGGCGATCAGTCGCTATTTTCTCAGTGATCTCGGGAAAGAGAGGAGGCCTGGTAGAATTCAATTCTCTTCAATGATACGATTTCTTGCCTGATTTGTCAGCTAAGTGACTCAGCATTGAATTTTATTCCATTGTGCTTGATAGATACTTGTCTATTGCAAAATAGATACTTGTCTATTTCTTGTTATCCTTGTTCTTATTTTCACGAGATCACGTTTATTTTTTTCCGGTGGTTTGGTTCTGAATGAAAACAACTGAGAATGGAGGCTGTGTGGGGGGCGGGTTGGGGGCGGGTCTGGGGGTGCGCATCCCTGCGTATACTTGTCTTGTTTACTAATGAAAACGTAATGAAAGGTATTACGCGCGCACTCCTCGGACTTTGATGGCTTTGCATACGGACTCAACAACTTCTTTACACTTCTCCTTCAGATACTAACTTTTACCCTGGTACCCTTTTCATAACTCCTTATGAGTTCAACAAAGCGTAAAGAGTATGGTTAAGCAGAAGATAGTCGGCAGGGTTAAACCTGCTAATCAACATAGCCTGTAATTGCCCAGCTTTTGACTATCCTTCTTATTGCTCGGGTTCACAGACTACCACTTTTCAAATCACTACGTGAAAATCAGTTGGCGATAACTCATTTTCGAGAACCCGCTTAATAATAGAATACCTCTGTGGATAATACGGTCACCGGAACAACCAAAGGCCAACGGGCAAAGAGCGGATCAGAAGCGATCATCAAAATGCCAAAATCCGTTTTACGTGATTTGACAATAACAAGTTTCTTTTTGCATGACCGGGCATTCTCTGTGACTCAGCATTTGACTTCCTTTTCCATCTAATATTTAAGGTACCGAACATGACTAGGAATTTTTATCCTCGCTTCAGTGCGGGAATTACTTCAGTGCCCAATTTTGTGTATAACTATTTTTGTCTGAAAGCGAGGACATTTCCCCGTATAAAAAACCCTTCAGGCTGAAGCAAAAGCCAGAACATCGTGAGATTTTATAAAAATGTTTTTAGTTCTTCTACTTCTCTTTTACGCAATTATTATCTTAATGACTTCCGAAGAAGTACATATAAAACATTGCCTTCGCTTGCCTTCCAACTTCAGGGTGTTATATATATTCTCTCTATTCTCTTTTTTAGAAGCCTGGTCACATTTTGTTCAGAGATTTTCATCAGTCAACTAGTTTTCTGTTTTCATCAATACGATTTACTTATTCTCCACCTTTCGAGATCTATGGGAACGAAAGACTTCGCAGCGGTTTAGCTGGAACTAAAAAAGTGAAGGAAAAAAACGATTGAAAAAAAAACCGGAAATGTAAATTGTTTTAATGTGGGTGCTAAGAAGTAATCAACTCGCCAAATTCTTCAGAACTGATAGTTCTAGAAAGGAGAGCGAAATAAACCAGGGAATTGCGGTTCTAAAGAATTTCTAGAGTTTTTGGCTTCCCAGTTCACCCTCTTGGTATTACACAACTGAATTTCACTTCATACAAGTGGACAGCCTACACAGAAATGAAATACCGTTTTTTTTGGAGGCGCTCAAAGCCAGCTGTTTTCGAAGAAAGCTAGTTTAAAATACTTTCAAAGAAACAATTGGAGCTTTGTCATTTTAAACCAAGTACAGGGCCAAGGTAGTAGCCAAGGGTAATTGCAGGCCGCATTTGCAACAATCAGTTTCCGTTATAAAAAATCGAAGGAAAACAAACACTGAGATGGATGTATGCCAGCGCTACTTAATAAGCACCTCCATCGGACCAACCGCAACGGAAGAAGGTTTCATGCTCAACGCCTAATATTTTGCGCGTGTGGTCGTTGAACTACGCTTTTCACGTTCCTACATTCTCTTTTTACGAGACTAAATGCCCTCGTTCAATTAAAAAAACGTCTCTTGACTAGCTCTAAGGGTCAGTGAGGATATGTTGCCACGGAGAAGCTCTCTTCAGGGAGTGTCATTAAAGTTTGTATTGTATTGTATTGTATTGTATTTCCCGTCTCAAGACTGAGCTATACTTGAGCTTAGGACCCCGAGAGAGAAAATCCCCATATAGAAGGGGATGCTCGTTGTCTCGCTTTGTTGTAGAAATTGAAGATTTGGGCCTCATTTGCGGAGTTCAGGAGGAAAAGTAGATGTATTCACCCATAATGGTATCGATGAGGATTGTGTGTAGCAAATGCTGCATGTCATACTCCGTTAGAGTATGGTCTGCTTTAGGGGTCAATAGTGACGGACATGAGCCACACCCCCGTTGGTCTCTTTTATAGAACAGAGGCCTGAAGCCGAAGTTTACTCTTTGTATTTCTGGGTGGAGGTGTGCGGCTGGGAACCTGGAACCCTTGAATTAAACCATACCGCGTTCAATGAGCTGTATTTTACAACCCTATTTCAGACTAACTATTAGTTAAACTCCATTGCTCAATCATATCATGCCCCTTCCATTAATGACACACTATTCTATACTGTATTAAACCAAATGAACTAAAACTGTTCAATAAGCGAAGAGCTGCTGTTTAGTTGAAAGAATATACGTATCAGGCGCTTAGAACAGCGATGTATAAGCGCTATATAAACTTCATTATTATCGTAGGAAAGCCTATAATTTACAAAAGCGAGGACTTCCTTCCTACTAATTTGTTAATTTAAAACCAAAACTGATCAGCTTTTGCAACCTTACCTTCAAGATTATTCTACAAATTTCTTTGCTTTCCTCAGAAGACAATAAATGTGAGAATACATCTCAAACCTTTTTCAAAAAATGAAATTCATTTATCAGTTTGGTTAGATACTCTGTGAACCCGTGTACTTTCTTTATCAGTCACTAAGCCTGTGTGTGCACATGCGCAAAACTGTTTTTTTTTTAATCCCAGCACAAAACATGCTCGACTGGTTTGGTAGTGCTATCTTGAATGACCTGTTAGATTTTTCTTGTTAAGTATATGGCAAAGAATAGTCACTGTTTGTTTACTTGCCAAGTACAAGGATGTTGTTATCGATTTCCTTCTATTTCCGTTCCCTCTTCCGTTCCTGGTGAGAAAACTTCTATCCATTTCCTAAAATAGAAACTTTGCAAAGGCGCAGCCAAGATTTCTACTGAAACACTACTGTTTTGGCCCTAATATTTCCTCTCCAAGAATAATCTCAAGGCTAAAACGTGCCAAAATTAAAATAGGAGAAGCAAAGCTCATTAAGCTAAAAACCCGGGGGGTGGGGGTACTCAACAAATGTTTATACGGGGAGGTTCCGCACCTAGGTCCAACCCCTCACCCTTTTATGTAAAAACCATGCGAACGACTTTGAGAAAGTCTACGAAAAAGGTATCCTTTTCGTATACCCTCTACAGACAAATGGTTCCCTTTCACATACCTTGTTTAGAAGTTTGCATCCCTTTTAACTACGCTCTCTTTAATAGGAATCAATAACAAAATAGCCTGAGTATCAGGCCTTCCTAAGGGGCTAGGGGAGAGGAGATGTTAATCACAAAATAGAACTTTTTCTCGACTTTATAACGCAATAAAATTCATCTGTCAGCCCTTTTGGGCTCTCTCACAGAGGCAAATGACAGATTTCCCTACCCATATATATACTTCAACTAGTGAAATCCCTACCCTTTCATATACTTGAAGCCTGAAGAAGATACCCCTTTCGGGCGGGGCCTCCCGCGTAGGCCATCATAGGGAGTACCCCCCTCCCCCACCAAAGGGGCTAAAAGTGTGGCCACCTTAATTAGTCATGAATCGGTGCCACACCCATATCGAAAGGGTTACGGGTTGAATTCTTGTGACTCTCTTGTTACTGGTTTGTGAAGGCATCACCCTAACGGAGATTGCAAGCAATAGTAAATCTATCGATCTTGTCTTTCCGATGAATGGTCGCAAGATACTGGGCTCCGAAAAAAAATACCCACATCTTCTCTAAAACCTTAACGAAAATTCTTTTAACACCATACACTATTGCGCAATTCCGGTGTAAGGAAGGGAGAGATTATTGATTACGCCCGTGAAGGCCCGCATTGAACATTAAAAAAATTCACTTGTAGAGCATGAAAATAATTCACGAAAATTCACGGCAACAAGCCGAAAGCCGGGGACTAAGAAATAGAGATAGTTCCCAAGTGGGGAAATTCATCAGCCCCTGCACAGTATGCTTTAGTTCCAAGCACAGGTTTTAATATACTAACCTTGAAGCTCTCCGTTATGAAGTTAAATCGCATAACCTTGCTTGATGGATACTGATGTAAGTTGGAAATTGCTTAACCACTATGGAACATGGAACGATCACAACTTTTCTGACCAGCGCGACGGTAGACTTCAAGGTTCGTATTTTCGTTAAGAGAGGCTACCCTTTATACTATAGTGATTGCATGTATATCTCCTTCACTATGTGATTCATGACTGGACTTTCGCAATATTTCTACATAAGGCCCTCCTTCACTAGCCATTAAATCCAAAGGTTGTGGTAAGGAATTAGGAAGAAAAATAATCAATAACAACAGCTATCTTAGTATACAATAGACTGGTATTTAAGCGCATAATATAAAGACAAAAACGTCCAGACGCTTTATATCATCATGATATTGTTAAGGGGGTTATTAATCCGCTGCTCAAAAGACTCCCGCTTTTTTAAAATAAAAAATTGAAATCAAACAATAAAGAAATTAGACTGATTACAGATTATGAGGTAATCTGGCAGCTTGCATGCAAACCCACACTGACTGTGCAGTTTTCGTCTACAACGAAATATGATGAAGCTGAGAAGAGGAAACGTAGAGCGAAAGATAGCATTGGAAATTCTTAATCGAAAATTGTTTGAAAATTCCAGTCATTAATGTACATCTTTTCTTGCAATGGAAGTCAGACTAAATGCTTTCGTGCAGGGATCTAACGCGCCCTGCGTGTAATTCACGCATTTGATCATAGTTACACAGATATTTGCGCGTTATAAAATTTTAAATTATTATTAATTAGTCAATGGCGTCTACCTCGACACATTTTACATATAATAGGGAGCTATAGAGTCATCTTCGACCACTGTTGAAACGGAAAGAGGCACGCAACGGATATATATATATATATATCTCGCCTGCTTACCCAGCCCTTACAACAATTAAAACTTACACTAAAAACTTCACCACAGGTTCCTCAAACTTTCCTTCTCTTTTATATTTCACAAAGTTCGAGAAGTTTTCATTTTTGGTCAAGTAGAAACACCACCGATCAAAACAGGCTTTATCCTAAGAATTGGAAGACTGCTAATTCTTTTCAGCGCTGAAAGGCTAACACAGACAATATTCTTTCTGCATTATTTCAGCGAAAATACAGCATGGAATCTCCTTTTATTTCTTGCCAAGCCTCTTCATATACTTTGACAACATCTGCAAAGTACAACAGAAGAGGAGCGAATTGAAATGCAGGGAAAAATCGGGGGATGCAAAGAGCACTTAATGGTACTACGTTCTCTTATGCAGATGTTTTTCTCTCGGGCGGAGGTGTGTTTTCATGAAAAGCGGAATCGGCGGGGAATGGGAAAATAGCGGTCTTGTCAACCTCGTCCAGGAGAGAACCCTGGGAACGAGGTTGCGTTCTTGTGAGAGGTTATATGAGGTCTGGGCCCGGTTCCTCGAAAGATGGTTAATTTTAACCCAGGAGTAAGAACAGTTTTAAGCAAGGTTTTCTTGTCTAAGAACATGTAACTCGAGCTTCCAAAATACTGTTTTGCCTTTCCTTCGAAAAAAAGAAATGATAACACAAAATGTTACTTTAGGCAATGCATAGAAAGGTAAATACAAAATGTGGAACAAAATTTAAATCCTGCATTACAGCTAATCGGCCATTCAGGAACCGGGCTCTGGTTAAAAAAGCAATCATGTATATTAGGAACAATTAACTTCACCTTCATGTAAGGGACCATTTTTTGTACTCTTGAGGTTCTGAATCAGTTGTTTTGTGGAAGAGGCTCCAATGATGACTGCATCTAAAAGGAGACGGCAAAAAATGAAAAGTAGTTCTCCTTTACTGCCTTTCGTTTCTGGACAGGATTCGAAGGGGGTACTGTCACAAAATACGGACAAACTCAAACACGTTGCCAAAATATTTCTGTTCGGTTACGAAGTACTTGATAACTATTCACGGTTGCCTTTCGTCATTAACAATTTGATAACTAAAAGACTAAAAGCATTAATCACACTTACCTCCATGTGCACCGTCTAATTTAGAGTGATGGTACATCCAGCGGAAGGTCGCATCAACTAATGATACTTTTCCTTCACCGTAAATGCGATCTAACGTTTTTCTGAGTTTGTCGAGTGCGTCAAACAATGGCTTTTTCCAGTAACGCTGTCTGTAACTGTGAAGAGAAAAATAGGTACGCAATGAGAAGATGCAACACAGGTGTACATGTTATAGAGCCTTTTCATATTACATCACGTCCGCTATACTATAAAACGGCGGCCATGTTAGTGTCCTAAGGTGAGTTTCTTTTGTTGCAAGCTGCTGGCCAGCTGAGTAAACCCTCTATTCCCTGTACCTAAGGGCTGGTTCGCTATGGATTATCGTATTTACTCGATTACACCGTGGCGTTTATCAAATTTTCAGCGTTCCCAAGAGGTTTAAGGTCGGCGTTTTTTTCAAAATATCATATCTAAATTCACAATTACGGTAGATTATTTTTGTGAACCAGAAACATGTTTTACGTTCCAGCGTATCGTTCTTTTTTTTGCTGAGATAGAATCGTAACCGTCTGGCTTGTAATATGTACAACGAAAAGACCATTTAAATGTCCCTGTCCCCGTCGTCATCTGACTCCGATCCACGAGCTGTAATCTTCGAATTGATTGGGTGTGACGTTTAATTGTGTTTATTCCAGGGGCGGGGGTCGTTGCTGACATTGAACTCCAACACTCACAGATTCACACCATATCACGTGTCTCCGAGAGAAGAGAATCCAAGTGTCGCGTTCATGTCTTGCAAAGAAAATATAGCATGGACAAAACCTCTTTATTGCAGAATAGAGAGTAGAAAAAAGACAAGTTCTTAGAACTGTTGGCAACTATTTGGAGAACTTTTTGTAATGATTGACAGTCTAAAAAAACTTACATTTCAGCCCACATACCCTCCCTGTTATAACGGCCATACTGGATTGTATTGTTTTCTCTATCCTCGTAGCGGTGTTTCCCTGTAAAGATCCCACCTAAAAGCTACAAATAAACCACAAGACAGACATGACAGACAATTTGTCGATTAAAAGTCTTAAGGAAAACCGACACATGGACTATAAAGGCACCTCACACTTCACTTCTTGTTGCGAATTAAAAGCCTTAACACATACAACATTGCCGGTAATATTGCGCACATCATGTTTTACTTACAGAAGCTAATGTATGCAACATTTCGCGCAAGGTTCAATATGCTCAAAATTTGCTGCGCGGCTACTTTGCGTATTAAATATAAATGTGAAATTTGATTGGCTGATTTATTCGCCGATGCAAGGAGAAATCTAACACCAGAAAGCCCAGAAAAAAATTCCAAGCTCCAAGTGAGAATGTGACAGAGGGTACTTAGAGGCACGTTTAAATTCATTGCGCGTTATGCTGCAGTAGCCAGAACCGAAATCCTTGTTATTGCCCTCAGCTGTGTACCAGGATTCGCGAAAGAGCCATGATTTGCCTGTTAAAAAAGGTATTGCTTGATTGGATAATCAGGTTGAAGGGAAATTCGAGACGCATTTCTGGTAATTCGATGAGTGGTCCAGAACAAGGATCTCGGCGCTGCTTGAGAGAACAAGCCGTGGTTAGAGTACACCTGCTACGCAGGCTATGTTGCAGACGTGGATGGGGATTCAGAGGCCAGTTGACAAACAATGCAGAGCCCAGTTTACAAGAAATTATTTACTAGCAAAGACAATTCAACGTCAAATGAGAACATGACAGCGCACTGAAAGGACTGAAAGTGACTTCCGCCGGTGCAAAATTTGCGGCTCTGTCATTGGTCAATTCCAGGGCGCCCTGGTCGACCCTGGTCAGTTCAGGTTTTAGATCTGCGTGCGCAGTTGCCGCTGTTGTCACCTTGTCTCTGATAAATCTGGCTATTATTAGAGACCTTTAGATTCGAGGACGAGAACCACTACGAGTACGAGATTTGATGATTTGATTCAAAGTTTTTTCGCGTATTCCCAAAAAATAGACACCCCGGAATTCTTCATTGTACTTTTTTTCACCAGAAAAGTTAGAACTGTTATCGTTATTGAAGGAGGTTGAGCTCTTTCCCGATTCCAAAATGCGAAAACTTCTAACATTTGTTAACTTGTTCCCGCCGCTACGACACTCTTGTTAAACCTCGTAGTAGCATGACGACGGCTACCACGTTTTCCCGCCAAAATGACGCTGCCTCACGCGCAAGCAGTACTTAGCATTGAGAAAATCTCGTACTCGTAGTCGTTCTCGTCTTAGAATCTAAAGCTCTCTATTACTACTACAGATGTAAGCAGTTTTAAGATTGAAGTGCCTACAACTATAAACAGAAACAAAAATCGAAAATGTCTTGGCGGTTTATAAGTTTATAAGTAAGCACACTCTCGTCAACTTTTTCCCTTTTACATAAGGTTGAACAACTACATAAAAGTGAGATCAAGTGATCTCGTACTAAACCCAAGGTGGCTGTATTCGCAGATTTCAAAAGTGATTGATCGAAACTTTCAGTAAGCCAGTAGACACCCTCTACGCGTCCTTCTTTAGAGAGATGCCCAAGGCGGCCAACTCTTTGGCGAACAATTTAAGAGAACTAATTTCCTAATTACTTTTCTAACCAGTGCTTTTGAGAACACTGATGTTTCTGTTTAACTAATGGCTGGACCAATACTCACTGCATTGTAAGCATAGAAAGCAATTCCAAATCTTCTCAGACAAGGAAACAATTCTCCCTCCACGCCTCTAGAAATAAACAAACAGACAAAAGCACTTTTAACTGAATACTAGAGCTTATGAACGGTACGGTGCCTTCCAGAACAAAAGTACATTTGCCACCATTATTATTTTTTTAGTTGATTTAATTTTTCTATTTCTTATTTCTATTTTTTTTTATTCATTACTTGTACATGTAGATTATGTAAATTATCACGTTGTAATTTTTATGGCACATTTGCATTTAAACGAGCTATCGCTCATATGCGATATGTGGTTAAATAAAATTACTTACTTACCTCTGTTTTACTAAAAGGCAGTTCAAACGTGAAATTAGACAGGTAATGATCCTATCATGGATCCTTATACGTTTCTGTGAAACTGTTCACCTACCCCTCCCCTAAGCCAACATGTTATTTATTCCTTTTTAGGCCATTTCTTTGAACATAATTACTAATTAAAAGTAACAAGCTTAGAACAAAACCTGTTTACCATAGTTTTGCAACAGGGCCCACTATATTGGGCTACACGTACAAACCAAGTTTTAAAGCATTATAAAGGAAATAAAGGGAGATGTAAAGAATCAACCATAAGAGGGCACAGCAAAAATTCTGAGCCCCAGATGGGATTCGAACTCATGACCCTTCGTGTTCTAGATTTTTTCTGCGTCCTCTTATGGTTGATTCTTTACATCTCCCTTTATTTCCTTTATAATACTAATATCAGTGGCATAAGTTTTAAAGTAAAGTAAGCTTCATATTGCCCTATGTAAGGCTATCCAAGACACTCTTGGATTCTGGATTCCAGGTACTAGGTTCCGGATTCCTTGTCAACTGAACGCGGATTCTGGATCCCTAGCACTGAATTCCGGATTCCAAGCAAAAATTTTGAAGAGTTTGGAATCCGGATTACCACACAAGGGGCAACACAGCATTGCAACATTGTTGTGACATTGTTTTGAATAGTTACAAATTTATTCCAACATTGCAACGCTGTGTTGCGCTAAAAATTGTTGTGGTGAATCATCCCTGTAACATCACCTTTACGCTGGTGATAATTTAACAAAACTGCCTGTGAATACAGCTGCCTCTTCTTGCTCCTTGCCACTTGGGACATTTCGCAGGAGAGAAAACGTCCTTAGTGTAGAGCTGTGATGAGAGACAGCTGTATTCACAGGCTACAATGCACTCTTAAACCAAGTAACCCTGATTCACTTGCCTTGTGACTGGATTATAAACACTCTGATAGAATTTTGGTAGGGGATAGTCTTTCATCTTACACAAGTAATAGACTTCAGCCTAAGAAAATTAAAACAATTTAATTTACTACAACTTATAACAAGTCTTTGGACATTTCTATTACTTACAGCTATAGTAGTACTTGCGCACAATATTGCCAGATTAGGTAGCTTGCTAAGGGAAATTAACTCAATAATATAATGTTAGATGTTAATAAAGGTATGTAGTTTGTAGTTTTGAGTCCACAGATCAAATCTTACCTTGTGACCAATCAAATGAAAGCTCTTCAGCAGTACTTTCATGTTGTCCTAATTACTTATTTGTAGTTCCAGTTTTTGAGTTTGTGCAACATCCTCTGGCCTGACCATTCAAATGAAATTTCTTTATTGGAAGTATTCTATTTAGTATGCAGTGACTGTCCCTGATCTTGAGTCTATGTACCAAATTCCATACTTGGTATTCAGATAAAACTTTTTCAAAACTGGCTGAATTTGTTTCCTATCAGTCATTGACTAGAAATAAAATTTGAGACTTCATTTTTCTTGAACTTTGGGTTTAGCAGCACTCCCATCAGCGGGAGGGTTAGTAAGAAGTGGGCAGTAATTCAAAATCATTTTCTTTATCTGGCACAGGTTAAGAGAAGTAAGACAGCTTATAACAAAACTATTAACTTACGACTTCCCAAGAGGAATAATTGGAGAGTCCAAAATATTTAAATTTTCCCTCTGAAACAACAACAACAAAAATAAATGAAATTACTTATTGCATTCAATAAAAATCTGGGTAATACTCTAAGAAATACATGTCAGCCCTTTACATCTAGTCATTCATGTACAAAACTACCTGCCCTGTGCACAGAGCCTCTTTTTGTCTTCTTCTTGACCGAGAAGGAGAAAAGGAGGCTCTGGCTGAATCATGTCTTTGAAGTTGCCGCAGCCTGAACTTCAGGATTAGTCAATATACTTTTCTCTGTTGAAGTTGAAGTTGTGTGGAGCAGTATCATCCCTGCATGCGCTATTAAACTATGTGCTTAAACGTACTGCTGACGACAACAAAGATGAATATGGGTCAGAAGCAGCCAGCATCCATTGATAAACCAATGGTCATAACTGACCCTGCTGTACCAAGCACATGGCTATGAGGCCTGGGTTTGAAACTGTATCCTAGTGACATGCAGTGCATTGCCCAACAAAAATCTAACTTGTTTTGTGTGGAGTCTCAAGTATGCCAATAAAATTTAGGACAAGTGAAAGAAATGCTGGAGAGAAATAAGTGCACTGGAAAAAGACAAAGTAGTATAGTAATTTCCTTTGTATTGTTTATTTCATCCCAGTGAGTTGCTTGTTCTCTAACAGGGTGGTTTTGTACACGACTTATGGCGCATGGGGTGTGTGGGCATCACCCCCTGTTCCCGCTGTGCGCGTTATGTGAAAATGACTGGGGACAAGTCAAAAGAATCATATACATGTACATGTACCTTTATAAAGCTGATTGACAGCTTCAAGAGTTTCTTCAATGGGTGTATTGTGGTCTGGAGCATGGAGGTAAAATAAGTCCACACTGTCTTTCTTCAATCTTTTGAGAGACGTATTCAGCTGTTCCAATACACTGTCATACTTTAATCCTTTGAGGGATAAGATTATACAAATATTATATAACAACATTAATGTTACAATGGAATTAATATTACAACATTTTGATATAAAACTAGCTGCATATACATAAACACCAGTGACACTAGTACATGTACAGGTAAGCTTTCGCACAAAAACATGATATATTCACATGTCAAAAGATCACTGTTGCTATGGTTACCATCTAACATTATAACTTACTATGAAAATCAAATCTTCAGTAGTATTAGCAGTACACCACTTAATTAAAAGTATCGGCAGGGAATATAAATTCAATCAATTTGGGCCAGGTTTACATATATCTAAAATATATATATATATACAGAAACAACTCATGATAAACTAGAGTTAAATGTACAAGGGGAAAACAATGTGATTAAATTGATTTCAGAAGACATTAATTTTTCACCCAAATAAAAAAAACTTAATACTTTGTTCAGTGACTACTTTAAAGTTCAACATGTAAAAGTTAGCACTTCAAAAAAGTCATGTGTTTTTACATTGGCCCTGCATGTACAGTATCTTAATTTACCTTTCTCATTCCAAGGATTGGCTTTAGTGGCAATAAACATCTGAATTATGGATACAAATTTAAAAAAATGGCTTACAAATTAATGTACAATATTATTAATATAATAATCTTACCTCTTTGCATGATAATGATAATAATGATGATGATTTCTGATGATGATCATAATTATGCAAAAAAAGTCAAGGTAAACTACAATTTGTACATGTAAAGAGGAAGAAAAAGTGAAACCTGGAAACCACCCCTAACATTAAATCATACTGTAGATGCTAATGGGATACAAAAAAAAACAAATCAGTGGCTCCCATTCAGATCTAGTCTACCAGGTAAACTGAGCTGGTTGCTGAGAATCATTGAGGCCCTATACACAATCACAAGAGTTGGAGAGAACGATCGCTAATACCAGAAATTTTATGCCTTAGTCTCAGGCTAACAATCTTTCTTAAGAGTTTTTTCAAACCAAAAGAGAAACTGCTTAAATTGAATGTTATTCATTCATTTCTGTTCCTTTCACTGACAGTTCTTATAGTACATCACAGTACATGCCTGGATGAGTCTTTTGTACATGCACAATGACAGTCTTTCTCGAACTGCAAATCTCATACAAAGCAGCATGTTTTACTTAAAAGATCTTTATTTTTCAAAGATCATTACCAGGGCATGTCATACTTTGGCAAATGTGATAAAGCAGTAAACACCTTTGACAAAAATTAATTTGAGTTGAAGGAAAAATGAAAATATGAGTTCTCTTTTCTTTTTTCTGTCTTTCTTGCTGTTGGAAATATTACACATATTCTTTCTTTTCTTTTCTTTTCTCTTTGCTTTTTACTTACAATCCCATGTATTATTTAGGTGATATCTGTTTGTCATCTTTTACGAAATTAATTTGGCATACCACAACTAGCCTTTTAGCAAACTGTGTGCCAAGAAATTATAAATATTAACCCTTTAAGCCCCAATATCCACATACAAATTCTCCAAACTGATCTCTATACATGTCCTTCATGGATGAGTTGGGAGAATTTGATAAAAGATGAAAGCATTTTTCCTTAGCTGATCATTTTATTAATTCTCATAACCTAATCTCTTACCGTTGTATGGATATTGTTAGGAGAAAATTGATGTTGGTCACTATTGGGACTTAAAGGGTTAAGGTAATAACTGTCTTGTCTTGTCTTGTTTTAGTTGACTAAAAAAATAGTTAGAATAAGAATGAGTTGTTGCTTAACTCTATTTTAGCCCCAATCTACACATAAAAATTATCCAAATGATCTCAGCGTACATTTCTTTACAGAATGAGTTGAGGGAATTATTTTGATAAAAGATCAAAGCATTTTCCATGTGGTGATCATTCTATTAATTCTCTTTGACAGAGAGCTGGTTGCTTAAGAGAGTGGTTGCAAGGAGACCTACATGTAAGCACTTAACTGTATTTGAAGTGTTCTTGCCTTCATGTAACAATTATTCCACAAGTCCATCTTGGATATGAGATGGGTGATAGCCAACGAGGCGCATAGCACCGAGTTGGCTGTATCACTTCATATCCAACAAGCGTGAGTGGAATAATAATATTGTTTTATTAAAAATGCCCACAAAATAGCGAGAATTTAGCTAGTTTTTAATTTTGAGCAGATGTGTACAGTTACAATATTTGGAGAGCATAGTATAATGGTTCATTTACTATGATGGCTAAGCCAATCAGAGCTCTAGAATTGCATTTATTTATCCAATGATTCAGTTTTTAATAATAATCAAAATCATTTTAATTTAAACACACATAACAAATAACTAAGCTTTAAAGTTATACATAATTTTTTCTTCTGTAACTGATAGGAAAAAAAACTACCTTGGAATCATGAATGTACTCAGTATTTCCCATGAACTCCTCACTCTTCCCTCCAGTGTACCTTTGACAAATAGTAATTAATTATCATCATTATTAAAAACCTATCCGTACTAGCTGACAAAATTTGGAATTGTCTTTGAAACATCTAAACCAGCTATGATTGTATGAGGACAATTTTTGTTTTGAAAAAATTTATCTGCACTGGATTAAGCTATTCATAGTCAAACCCAATTAATTCGGACACTGGAGGGGCCATAGAAAGTGTCCTGTATCAATGAGGTGTCCGTATTAAGTGAGTCTGTCATGTTTTTAAAGTCACAAATACACCTTATATTTTGATCAAAATACGACAGAAATAAAGCAGGACACTAGCATGATCAAACTAAACTACTCTAAACTTCACCAAGGAGTTATTCGGTGGACTATTCGATCCAATGCGAAAACACTTAAAAGTCTTGACAAAGTCATTATGTAATCAAAAACCGTTCTCTGCTGACTCTGATGATGTCAAAAATAGTCATCCTATCTGGTGTACTATAGCACTGGGAACATCGACATTATGTCAACTGAAGGTTTTTTTACCTTCAAAAAAGAAAGGTCTATTACACCACACAGTGGACAACAATTTGTCAAGAAAAACAGCTTTTTCGCCCGTGCAAATAGGCCCTATTATGTACTAATAATAATCATATTTCGATAATTTACAGCAACAAAAAACATTTAATTCTTATTGAAGTACATATAAACAAATAAATTCAATCTATTCAGTATTAACATCAGGACAGATGAATAATAAAATAATAATGATTATCTAGATCATTTTCTACAAACAGTTTATATACTGTGAAGCTTATAGTTGCACTTACATAAAAGCTGTGTCATAGTCATAAACACCATTGTCAACACATATTTTTATGAGCTCTTTTACCTGCAAAAATAAAAAATAATAACCACATTAATTTAAATTCTATTTATTTCACACAAATTACAGCAGTTATATACATTGTAGCTACCAAATATACTACAAAAATGTAATCAACTTTATTTGTTAGGTGGATTAACCCTATAATGTGACCATTCATATAAAACCTCTTTGGTACTGTTGTACTTTCAAATGGTGCTATTAGTTTTGAAGTATTTTAATTTTTACAAATACATGTAAAATTGACATATTTTGTTGAATTTTGCCATTTTTGGGAGTCAGGGTTAGCCAGCTGCCCGGATTTCTCCTTTGGCTAAAATTTTCCAGGAGGTAAGGGGTTTCAGTTCACACCTGGTCTTCATTGCATTGCCTTCCAAATTCCATGCAGCCAATTGATGTCTTCACAGGAACAGAGGCCATCCTGATCATATGGAAATATAGAAAGATGAGCATGACAAGATAATCAAGGCAGAATCACATGTATGCAGATTAAAGAGCAGTAATATATTATATCTAGCAAAGTCAGAGGCTGAGGTAAATAACACTTCATACACTGTATCATCGTTCATACCATACAAGTTTCAAAAAGCTTTTTTTAATCCTTGCCAAACGAGCCAATCTGCTTGCTGATTTTTTTTTCTGTAAATTTCCACAATCTTGTTTAGCTGTGTTTAGATTTCGAGTCCAGCTTAACCACACAACTGACTGTATATATGCATGGAAAGCCAGTGGTGACCTGGGGGTTAGTGAATGCGTGAGCACAGCTGGAATTGACTGACGCATTACAAGCCTGATTGGCATTAAATCTCTGGGGCCAGTTGTTCAAAAGGTGGATAGCGCTATCCACCATGTAAATCACTATCCAGTGGATAGCGCAATTGGGGCCTGGAGGAATGCATTAGCCTAAGAAAACAGCCAACATTATTGTCACGTCACTAATGGCTTCCCCATGACATAACCGCGACGCCACCACTCGGTTTCAACATGAAAATATGACATCTAAGGAACGAGCAAAGAAATTCCATTCTGATGATATGTCACTAGATATACAATCCTATATAATATATATAGGATTATACTATAGCTTTTTTTTATAGCTTTTTTATTTCATATCTTTTATTTATCATTATTATTCATTATTTATTTTATCTTTATGTTGTGTCCCCAATTAGCGTCTGCTAAATACATCGACACATGAATAAAGTTCATCATCATCATCATCAGATCAGGTAGATCCAGTTCATTAGTATGTAATTCCGCACTTGTTCCAGAGCCATCATTTTGGGGGGGAAACCAGAGGTGGTGATGCAAAATGTCGGCTGTTTTCTGAGGCTAATGAACTCCCCCGGGAATTTAATACCAATCAGAAATGGAGAAAGATTTAGCATGATAGAGTTTCTCAACGATTTGCAGGATACAGAAACAAACAGAAGAAAAAATAGCAACATATTCAACCAGCCATACATGTAGTTTAATTTCAGTAGGCACCACAGTTATATATGGTCATGGAAGATGGCTGCCTTGATGACAAATGCCCCAACGTGAAAACACAAAGCTTGACAAAATTCTAACACTTTCAGTTTCTACCAGTTGAATTAAGCTTATTAAAAGCTTGAGCTTGTATATTATGCATGTAATCTGAAGTTCAAAAACCCAGTACATGTATACGAAAAGACAGCTCACCTATTCTACTAAAAGGAAACAAAGACATACTATTATATCCTTTAATTAAACACAGTGATGAGACTTGCTTACCTATATCTCCTTTCTTTTAATTTACGCGTGAGAGGAATCAAAACGTTATGTCACTCGTTCACACGCCTTAGAAGTACGCTCAAATGCAGATTATCAAACCTCATTTACATAGTTTAATTGGAACCCAAGTTTCGCGCATTTTCTACCGTCTTCAGAGAATGTGTCATCTAATGAATCTAAATGTTCCCTGCATCTACCGAGAGTTCGTGAAAATGGACTGGGCTCTAACGATGATCTGTGAAGATTTGTTTGTCACGCTTCTCGGCCCTAAACTCGGCCCCGATGTTTTCACATGTGATGAGAGTGGCGTTTGTTCGTCTTAATTTTTTCCAAACATCAGAGGTCTTCACACGGCAGTTGACTAAGGTAACAAAATAAATTTACACAGATCTCTTCAGTTACAAAAACAGCATTTTAGTAGCGCGCTTTGTCGTTAAAGAACGAGTTTACGTATGAATATTGAATGAACCGAGTTTCAATTCCTTCCACTGCACCATATTTGTTTTCATTATTTTTCTATTCATTAATGTTAATGACCAGTATACTGTTAAGTGAAAATAGACTTCACCATCATACTGTGTTTATTTCTAACAGCAATGAGTTTTTTTAATAAGCAAAAGTTTGTACGTTGTGTTATGTTGTGCTATGGGGCTGCCAGAATTCTGACATCTTCTTTGGCCGTGTACAGATTGATCTGAATCCGTTCTGTGATTGAATTAATGTTGGTCAGCCTTCATCTAGGCCTTCTAATCCTGGTAACCTACAATCTTTGACAAAATATTAAAAATGGAACAACAAACCCCCATCCCCTGGAAATCAAGGATGAAGACGCTGGAGAGCCTAAAACGCGCGCCATTTTTCCATCCTTGATTTAAGGGGGAGAGGGGGGAGGGGCTAAATTTTCAATCTGTCTTATCCAGGAAGAGCAAACCCCCATTCCCCAATCCTGCCAATCAATGCTAATTAACAGAAATTAATTGATAAATAATTAATCAAAATTGGGTTTTCCTGTCATTGATTAATTTTCATCAATTATTGTTCACAACCTGTAAACCCTGATCACTGTATATCAGTGCAAACCTCAAGTAGCGCTTTTCTTTGACTTCTTTTCCTTTTTTATTGCCGTCTCTTACTGTGATAATTTTCTATTCTAAGAATAATAATTATTATTTTTCTCACCTTTTCTTTTTCTTAAAATAAATGGCATGATTGTGGAATAGGTACATTGGCTAAACCTCATTACATGTTAGTCCACCCATTTAAGGGGATAAATAAAGTGGGATAATTTCTGGTTCCCCCCCTCCCTTACAATGGATTGTTCCCCCAGGAGCTTTTGCGTCATCTGTTATTTTTGTGTTTCTTTTCTGATAGATCAGTAAATAGGTGCTTTCATTGTTACACAGTGTAAGTAACAATAGTTATATTGTTAATTTCAAGGTGGCTGCTGGCCCTGTGAAGACTTCTATTGGATGTATGGAATTTGGACGGCAATGCAGCCCAGACCAGGTGTGCATTAATGAACAGTCAGGGTAAAAATTAATCCATTGGTAGTGGGTTGCACATATTATGTGAGAAGTTCAAGTCAAAAGTAAGATGACTGACACTTGTAAGCTTGTGAGACTGCACACAAGTTACATGTACGCGTTCAAAATTTGAATCATTGAAAGTCAACAGGCTGTACATATACAGTGTCTTCCGGTGTGAAAAAAGGTTACTTGGGAATAATTAACAATTATTTCTTTGAAATCGAGGTGCATAGTGGCTAAATATTTAACCGAGCCTCGGCGAGGTAAATATTCCCAAAGCCACTATTCACTGAGATTGAAAAGAATTAATAATTATTGTTTTAGTATATACACACGAAGTGATCTCAACAAAATCAGAGAGGAAACCATTAAAAAGTACGATTTGATTGACAGATCAAATCACCCGTAAGTTTAAAAATAAGATCTTTGCAGAATTTCAAACATGGCAATTCACAAGTTTATCATTTCGTAAACAACAGCGTAATGGCTTCAATGGAATCGCTAAAAGTTTGAACTGTTTCCTTACCTGAGAAAAAAAGTAGAGCTTTGTTGTTTTCTGTTGACTCGCCAAGTTAGTTTATAGCCAAAAGGGTTTGTTGTGTCATTCTTCGCATGAAGTGCTGACAAAAAGGCGGCTCGGTTGCTTGAGGCAAGACGTCATCTTCCTGTATCATTCTTTTTCCTGTTTACTTGAAACGTAGAATTTATTTGCATTTCCTTTTAAATTTGTTTGTCATAAATAAATTTCGATTTTTGAGCCAAAATTTTCTTGTTAGAAAACGCTGAGTTCACGAAACGGCTTCTTCTACATGAATACACGGAGTTGTAAACAATCCATTGAGCACAAAACTCAGCTACAGTAAATTGAAAAACGCTGTATTGAATCCTTCCAAGTCTTTTCTTGCCTCAAAAAAAGTCAGCCCTAGGATTTTGTTGACTTTTAAACAATCATTCTCTGAAAAAATGGAAAAAACACCAAGCTCACATATTATCCACTCACCAGGAGGTGAATCTTGTTGAATAGTCCGAGATTGCGAACCAATCAGATTGCTTAAATCACCAAGATCACTGAGTGTGTATAAACTAATATCAGATGTCTTGGTCCAATAACTTTCACTCTGTGTATGGAAGCACGTTTTGCACATGCTATTAAATTTCCCAGGAGTACCTCTGGCCATGGGACCCACTCATTGACTCACTTACTGATAGGTTAATGTACTCTGTAACCAACAGGTTGACATGACTATACAGCTGTACACTGTACATGTATTTGCATTGAACTCATTATCTTAAACTGTTCATTAATCACTGAATAATGCATTGTTGCAGGCAGAGGAGTTTGTAAAACTTTGTATGGAAAATGATGTGTATGATTTTGACACTGCTCATGGGTAAGTATAAATTATGTCATCGATCTCTAATAAGAATCACCTGTTCAACTTACAGGAAGATTTTTTTTCTTGTACAGTAATTTAAAAGTTTCAGAAAAATCTTGTTTACCCCTAAACCATGACATGGTAAGATTAAAAAAAGAAGTGCTCCTATTTAAAAATGTACCCTTGTGCAACCACCTCCTTTTTGGTTGGGATGTTTTGGCATGGAACTGCCCTTCATTTGTCGTCCTAACTTTTAAATCTGGATGAAATTCTGTGGTGTGTCTCTTGAAATTAAACTTCTTTCATGGCATTCCGTACGTGCATGTAGTACATATACTTAAAAAAATATTTACAGTATTTAGGATTTTACAGAAATATGTAAACATTTTTCATTTTTGGGTTTTACTACTATGTGTGAAAGGCGCAAGCCCCTGTTTTCAAAAGAGTTTACCAGTAATGGAGAAAAGGCTTAGTCTAGACACAAATTGGGGTGAGGTGCATCACAGGTAATACAGTTGAACCTCTTTACAATAGCCACCTTGGGGGCAGAAGAAAGTGGCTGAGAGGTTTTAAACAAGAGTTAATGTATGGATTTTTCGTCTGCGGAGATGAACAATTTGGCCGTTGTTGAGAGGTGGCCATTGTAGAGAGGTGGCTTTTAGCGTAGGTTTGACTGCATTGGCAATCCATTAATTTTTTATATTCATGGAAATATCATTATTTTATTTTAATAAATGTCTTATTAGTTTTATGTCTCCCCTGCAGGGATAAGATATGGATATTGATAGGGAAGTGATGTCATCACTTCTCTTCTCTATTAGGATCTGATTATTTTGTTTTTAATATATTAATATTCAACTTTATTTACTGTTACAGCTATAATGGAGGAAAGAGTGAAGAAATTATGGGAGATATTGACAGCCTTCATGAATCTAAGGTATTTTGAATTAACCTGCTTGAATTACATGTACAGTAAATTTCAAAGAACTGAGAAATACTTCCCTGCCAGTTGAGCCTCTGATTGCAGGGTGCTGGAATTAAGTGAATAAAGTAAATGAATGGTTATGTCTTTTTAATAACATTAATGTACTTTTTTTTCTTCAACCAGGTTTTCATTGCTACGAAAGCAAATCCTTGGGGAGGAAAAGGTGTGTTCCCGACATTTTAAATCATTAATTTTCTTAATGTGACTACTTCTAATTAATTTTCTCCCAGATACTTTCTGTAAAGAACCCTTTTGCCTCTGGAAATTTTGCTGGAAAATGCGTTTTGAAGCTAGTCGAGCGGTTTTCTGGTCACTGTCGTGCTATGAAGAGCTAAAACTTACCATAAAGCCATTTACAGGTTTTACACTTCGCGACCTTCTGATCCAGATGCAAAATATTACATGTAGCTTGCAACGTTCGGACATGCGCAGAAAGCAAAATTTAACTTTCTCTCCTTCCCTCTTTTTTCGCTTTTCTTGCCTCATTTTTTCCTTTTGCTGGGCATTTAGTAGGCTTCATTTTGGTGGGAAAAGTTTTTAGGAAAGCTGTTAGGATCTCAGGATTAGATGAAAGGAAAGGTAGGTGGGTGGTGGAACAAGATTTTCACGAAGATTTTCAGGGCAATGTTACATGTTTTGTTTTGCCTTTTTCTTCGGTGTTGTTGACTGAAATGTGCTCATAATTTCTGGTATGCTTGAAAGATTTCCTCACTCTGCACAAGTTAGTGGACAAAGTTGTCCTCGACCATTAAAACTGATGATGTCACAAGCTGTAAAAGGGACGGGGATCTGCATGGGCGCTTACGGGCGGATCAGGGATGAGTGGGTTAAGGTGCCATAAATATCCCAGCTGTCACCAAGTACTTGGGGGCTGGAGATTTCCTCTGTCTACTGTGAGCATGACCAAGGGCTACTTTCACAGGAAATACATACATGTAGAAAGAAAAAAGAACTTCGTAGCTGTTAACTCCCTACCCACTATAGTTGGAAACTGGCAACGTGAAATCTTAGTGACAGCCCTGGTTGTTGACTGTAAAGATGGGCTCTAAACTGTGTTCTGAGATTTTGAATTTTTGAATAAAAAATAATACAGAATCCATCCATTTTTTGATTTTCTGTGCCTTTCTGTGATTTTCCTGTATAACCTCGATGCACATTATTAATTTTACACTGCACTCTGGAATGATATTCTATCGTTTTTTACGATTCCCTATATTCTCTTTCTACTTTTGTCAATCATAATCATGTTTCTTTCATCCTTTTGTCTTACATTTTATCAGTTCCTTCCATTTTTCCAAAAATGTTTTGCCTTTTTTGACAGCAGTTTGTTTTTCAAATAACTTCTATCCTGAGGCCTGCTCATATTCCTTCATTTTTTTTTTATTTTAATTTTATGACTGCAGGTGTATTGCATGAGTTCCTCCATCTAAAAATTCATTCATTTGATCATTTTATTGTTCGTTTGTTTAATCTTCAAAGGTTTGAAATGTGACAGTGTGAAGAAACAGTTGAATGAATCTCTCAAAAGATTGAAGAAAGACCGTGTGGACTTGTTTTACCTTCATGCTCCAGATCACAGTACACCCATTGAAGAAACTCTTGAAGCTGTCAATCATCTGCATAAAGGTTGTTAGATGCAAATGTACTCTAAGATGTAGATCTATTGAACCACCAAAAAAGAAAACAAAACCTAATATCAACTAAGCATGAGGAACTTTATTATGAATTAAAGGGGTGTCTGGAATAAGCCCTGAGGGACTTCTGATTAAATGCTAAATTCGCCTTCAAGTTTACCTCATTTTATGCGAGTGAATCAAGAAGAAAATTTAACATCAGATTAGAGCTCATCTGACCCACATAATGAAGGTCTTACCAATTTTTTCTAGGGAAAAGGCAGCTCCTCCTCAGTTATTGTAGGATTTTAGTAGTTGTGGCTCTGGGGAGCAATGTATGTATGGAGTAACAACCCATTATGCCAATATTGGTACTCTAATAATGGATAACCATGCTGCAGTTACTTCTTATTTTGTCTTTGACATGTATGTACATCTGTATATGTAGACTTCTCGGTTATACCAACATGGAATATTGTTGTTAAATGTTTCCAAAAAATGTATATGATTAATGAGCAAACAGTATTAACCAAATTAATTTTGTTTTGAAAGAATGAAAGATGGTAAATTGTGTTGGGGGCTCAGGTTTTTTCTTTGTCCCATGCTCATGACATGCTGATTAATTCATTTTCACATAATTTTTTTTTTTTTTTTCAGAGGGAAAATTTAAATCCTTTGGCCTTTCTAATTACACTGCTTGGCAAGTGGTAAGTGTGTATTTTAATACCTCATTTTGCTTGTGAAATGGAAGGCAATTATTTTCCTTAGTTCAAATGTCCTGAAAGGATGATTTTTCCTTCCACAGCTGTGAATTCAGTAACAGTGAAACCTTAATATAATGTAATAAGTAATTGAATGAATGATAAATTGCGATTCAGAGGTATGTGTAGCACATTTTATGTAGTAGTGGTTGTTAATCTACAGTTCAGAATCAAATTGGGGAAACTGGAGCACCGCAGCCAGAGAAACATGTCTTGGAGCAAAGGGGAAAACTAAAGCGACGTATATATAATTTGAATGAGATTCTTAGCCTCAGTGTATAGTCTTAAGTGTCAGGCATCTATTCACCCCAACCCCCAACCCCATAACGGGCAACCAGGCAAGACTACTACTACTACTACTACTAAGCCCCAGCATCAGTGAAATATAAAGAGGACCCAGATCTTATCTACATTTACAAAATAACTAAGATAGTACACGCGTTCTGGCCTATGGTTTATTGTGCCGGTAAACTCATAGAAAACTCAAAGTTATTTTATGAAAGCAATAGACCACACTTTCTGTGGTTTTATCGGCATGATAACACTCTTGTGATGTTGGGAGAACACTCAAAATGCCTTTGGCTCGTGATTTACAAGCTTTTCTCATGTTCTCCCAACATCCCGTGTGGGTTATCACACCATTAAACCAATAGAAAGCGTGGTCTATTGCTTAAGTATCCCCTTTTCAATGATCAACTCTTCCATTCCATTTGACTCTCTAATATTTACGTTCCAATACTTAAATAACTTCCTAGTGCAGGTTTGACTGAATTCTGTGCTTTCTTTTAGGCAGAAATTTATTATCTGTGCAAGATGAATGGTTATCCATTACCAACTGTCTACCAAGGAATGTATAATTCTGTTACAAGGTAAGCATTCAGTTTGCTGGCATCCTGTTGGTGAAAGCTGTGGTTACACGGGGCAGCTTTACCAAGTTTGATATAAAGTTTGTCAATGTTACCTGGGGAAGATTCCCCAGGTGAATGTTCATGGTAAAGTGACTGAGCACAGTAGAAAATGATGTTACTCACCCTTGGAGCTTAAATGTTTAATATGACCAAACTTTCATGGCCTAATTTCTTTTCAGAGATATCGAGAAAGAACTCTTTCCCTGTCTGAGGAGATTTGGAATGGCCTTCTATGCATACAACCCAGTGAGTAAAAAGTAATCTCTGGTCACTGTGTGATGGGGATTTGGGTGCAACAAAAGGCAGTCTTATAATATAGTGCAGTGAATTCAAAGCAATGTAAAATAGGAATAACAAACGATACATGATGAGGGGACGCAATATCTGCAGATTGCAGCATATGTTTAATCCATCCCCGTCCTGTGAAGTGGGTATGTTGCCAAGGGTTATGCATACTGTAAGTTTACTCCAGGGGACAAAAATGGAGACCTAAAATACCTTTCCTATATACAGGAACATCTCAGTCTGTTGTAGGGTTTGCTCCTTCAGGATGATTCGGATAAGTGGTAGTGATCATGATGCTTCAAAGAAATTGATGAATCCTTGTGTGGAGTGGGTTCATTGGTTCCTTTGATGCATCATAATCTGAGTGATCTCGGATCACTGATCCTCTTCTAGATCATCCCCAGAGAACGCACCTTTAAAATCTTGTTTAATGCAAAGAAAGAAATAGTATTACATGCTCCTTTGTTACCTGGCGAAAAATTGGGAATCATTTTGGGACATCTTAGGTACATATCTTGGACAAAGAGGCCAAAAACCACACCATGTCCAGCAAGCCGCACGTCTCCATATAAGCCATTTAAGTAAGCGCTTCAGGGTTCACCATTTAAACTGACAAGGCTGTGTAACGTTTGTCTTGGGTTAAAAAAAACTAAATCCTTCTTCTTTACACTTTAGATATACTTCTGTGTACTTTTAGACAAACGTTCTTCGCATTCTGCTTATAAGAACGAACCTCTCGCTCTTATGGATACATATCTGCGCCCCGCGGGTTGCACGATCTAGTTCTTGAGATTGTTCCAGTTGAGAGTCCATGAGACCCATTTTCGCAGCGTTTCACTGATTACCTGTAGCTAGTGGTGGTATATTTATGTTTTATAGCTCGCTGGAGGAATCTTAACGGGTAAACATCGATACGAAGACAAAGAAACAGGAACCATTCAACATGGGCGTTATTCTGGAACTGGACCGTGGGCTGACTTGTAAGTGGAATTGATTTGGTAATGCCAGGTTCACTTAAAGGCTTGGTGTGATCATAAGGAACAAATAGTGCTATGCATTTAAGGGTTTAACTTAAAACTTTGACTTGAACGTTAAAACCATTAGGATCATGTCCACAGTTTTTAAAGTAAAGATGGCAAATTATCTCACCATAACTCGGTCTATGGGTAGCAAGAGGGTTTCAATAAGACGTTAATTTTTATAACAATTGCTGGGAAAGAGGTATATATTAAGGTCAATAAGATCTCTTGTTTCTTGTTAAAAGCTTGGAAAAGCTTGATTTTCTTACATAATCTGCTCTTCTGTTGTTAATGAAGAACGTGTCTTTAAATTGGAACCATTTACCAATACAATACCGCACAGGTTGTTGAAACGTCAGTCGCTGTCAACAACAACAGTCCTATTCAGGACTACGTTCACCCGGACGATCAGACTCAACCTACTTTTGAAGTGACTCCTGGGTTCAAACCTTTCACAGTAATACAATGTATCTTCTGACTTGTATTAGGGAACCTGCTTATAGTCAGACATAAGAACAAGATAGCAGTTCCTACCTCACAGTTACATGTATAAGGTTGAACTACATGAACATTTTTCAAACACATTCACCTATAGCGTGCCCTTTTCATTTCTAGATACGTCGCGCGTTTTTGGAAAAAGCCATTGTTTGATCTACTTGACAAACTCAAAGGAACAATGAATAGTATCTACGTTGAAGGAAAAGTGAGCTTGATTGACGCTTCCCTTCGCTGGATGTATCATCACTCAAAAATGGATGGTGCATGTGGAGGTATGTATTAGCATGTGATTTCAAAAGGGTGCTTATACACGGACAGTCTAACCTCCCATAAGCAAGCGGACCACTCAAAATGAGCAGATTTAATGGTCGCTTACGGGAAGTGGTCTCTTACGAGAATCGAGCCACAGGGGGTCTGTTCTCTTGTATCTCTTGTATACAGTTTCCAGGTTACTTATACGTGCAATTCTATGTTGTTACTGAAAATTCTTTGTATATTCTGAATGGTGTAGTACATACAGCGGTTAAAGAAACCATACCATTCGCTAAGTGGTCACTTGCAAGAGGTTAAATACCATTGAAAACTGTAAAATTGGTAGACCAAAAAGTGGTCGCGGTCGGACATGAGAGGTGGTTGTTTACGAGAGGTTCTAAGTATAGAGCTTTGTCGGGGAAAATTAAGGGTGTTTTGAAATGATAGGTGGTCACTTGAGGTGGTCACACGTTGAGGTTCGACTGTTTGTCATTTCTTATTTCTCCTCATGAAAGATAAGTTTCTTTTCGGGCGAAGGGACGCAACAACCGGAAATACGTCACCGTTTAGTTCCTCTTCTTCGGTTTGCGACTCATCATCGGACTCTTCTGTCTAGTTTCCACTAGATCGAAAGCGATGGAGTCCTAGTGGAGTTTGAAATGCTCTTATCACGAGATCATAACGCTCTCTGATTCTGATTGGGACTCCGACTCCGTCAGTTGTAAAACCAGACTTGCCAACTTTTAACGGAGTCGTGTGGAAGAGTAAATGTGGTCGTAGCATGTTCTTTGCTCACAACTAGCAGTAACAACGCTATGCCATACCTCAATGTTTTAGGAACTCTTACACTGGAAAACATTTACAAATTTAAAGTAGTCTTTTTCACACACATAACGCAACAAACGTCCCTACGTGTACGATTCTTAAAGGAACCCTTACCCTAGCCTCTGAGGTTCATAGTTACAACACCAGATTTGTATCCAACCTTAATTTTCATCGGTCAAAGATAAGCAATAATTATGGAGCTGCACTTTTGCTTTTGTTGGATCTAAAATCTGGGAAAACGTTTCCGCTGAATTAAAAAAGGTCCCTTGTAATAGCTTTTATAGGCAATGCAAAATGTACCTTTTAAATACCCAATTAGTAATTTGATTTCTCTACCCACACTACCAATAATCATTTTTATTGTTTTTATATAACGTAAGTACGACTTTATGCACTTTTAATTTTCCTTTCTCCGTTATTCGTTACTTGTAGTTTTATGTAAATGTCTACGCCAGTAAGTTGCACGTGGCAATGACCAACTCGAACACCTAAGCTCCTTTGGTCACTGCGCACATTTCACCTTTGATGATTTATGCAATTTGTTTCTTTATTTTTTTTCCTTACTTTTGTAATGTACTGTAATTTTTGTAGTACCTCTTGGAATAGTGCAAAAGAATAAAGAATCTGAATCTGTATGAACTCTTTTTTGTGTGTATTTTTTAGACGCTGTTATAATTGGAGCTTCATCTGTCAAACAATTGAAAGAGAACTTACAGAGTACAAAGAACGGTCCTTTACATGAAGGTATGTATGCTGTTGAGTTCAGTTTTACTAAAGAAAGCGATAGGGGAGGAAAATAGTGAGTTGTGCGCTATTGTTTAGAAGTCACTGCCGACTTCATCAGGTGGGGGGTTGGCGGGGGTGGGGGGATATGCGAAACCGTACATTACGTCATCTCTGATGTCACGGTCGTTTCCAAGGCTGTCGATATTATGAACGAGATAAAAGACGTTTCCTCTTTGAAACCTCTACAACACTATATTGTCTTGATTTGATCAGGTTGTGTGGACCTTCGTCACTTCTTCTTTGTGGTCTAAGATATGTAACTCATGTATCATGCGCGCGCAGTGCAGTTTAGTAAGCCATTTCAATGCTCTTTTTCTGCAGATGTTGTCAAATTGTTTGATGAGGTTTGGGGCGAAATTGAAGGCGACTGCCCTTTGTATTTCCGTTGATTTGGCTGCCGAAGGCTCATTGGGTATATCAAACAAGTATGAGTTTGCTTTGCCTGGAAAATATACAGTAATAACTTAAGGATGCCCTTTGTACGCGTGAAGGTGGAACGACTGATCCCAAATAATTATAGTGGGAGAAAAGTAATGGAAGTGAATTTAACGCCTATGCTCAGGACATGTGTTTAACATTTAAAACCTAAGTTGGAGCACTTATTACCACGCGATACAGTTCAATCCCTTTACCCTGCGAACTTCAGTTTAACTGAATAAAGTAAAGAGGGGGATTTTCATAAAAAAACAAATATTGCTACTGCTTTTAGTTGTTTGTTGAAATTGCGTGATCAATTGAGCAAGGAATATCGCATATTTCTTTCGTGATAGATCTATTGAATATGTAGTAACAGGATGATGAATTCTGATCGAATTAGATGATATTATCAGCAACGGTGATCCTTTAGGAACGTTTACTTTTAAACCTCTAAGCTCTGTTTTAATATTGTACAAGTGAACATTGGTGTTAGAAGTTGTTGTATGATCTCGTCGATTTTTGTTGTTTAGTGAAACGGTGGTCGTCATTATAATTTTCATACAGGTACATTGTATAACTATTGACAGCATTGTCAGATATGTTATGCTCACAGATCGTTCGACAATGAATGATAGCTTAATTTGCCAAACGAATTAAAACGAAGTCTTGACAATGATACATGACTTCCTAACCCCGACGTAAATTTTATAAAATTTCACAATTCTCCATATTGTACCATACTTTTAAAGATGTATTATTTTTAACCATGGAAAGAGCATGTCTTATATAATAACGACCACTCTTCACAATCATCATTAGCCCACCTCCCACATTACACTCTTGTTTGCACTCCCTCCCCTGGCTTAAAAGTTTGCATAACCTTTGTTTTTTATTTCTTCTGGGTTTAACAGTCGTCCCAGGAAAAATTGAAGACAGTGCTTAGGCAAACTTTTTGGGCGACAAACAAGGAGTTTTATGGGATGTGCAATTTGTGAATCGTTATACTTTATTTGATCACCTGAATGACAATGTGACTTAAATATGGATTACGTGGTCTGTGACATTTTAATATTCCCGAGCATTTGACAAAGAACAAAGTTATTTTTTGGTCCACTAGTTATTCAGGTTGTGTGGTATATACTATTTCAATAATTCACCTTAGTGCATGTCGGTGAAAGTGCTGGATAATTGTTAACTAAATGCAGTGGAGATGCTAATCGTTTTAGATGAATTTTTACTAATTACTATGAAGTATGGTCAAGCATTATGTGTTTTAGCGCGCGCTACAACTTGGCATGTAAGACCGCGGACTTAATGGTCACGAAAATCAATTTTAGTCGGTATAAAGTTAATAAGTTAGTGCAAAAATGTAAAAAAAAAAGTGAAAATTAGACTGGGGGCAGTCTCTGTTTTCTTCTGATTTAGTGCCGCGAGTGGTTATTTGCGTGTCTTGCGCGTTTTGCTCGATGGACCAAGAAAAAAGAGAGACTGCTCGTAGTCTTATTGAAAATAAACTCCGACGGCTTATTTTAGCCGTTTTCAGTATATTTAACTAAAAATATAATAAAGTATGAGGTGAAACTTAAATTCGCCTGACAACAAATATTAATAAATAGATTAAATTCTAAATGTCGCTACCAACCAGGTATTTTAAACTTTCCTTTTTTACTGGTGCCAAGCATTGTATGCTGGAGTACACGGGACAATCCATTAGAGTGATACGTCATTCTGGACTGCGCACGCAATCATCACAAGCAGCATTTTTAGCTTAACCCTTTAAGCCCAAGAGTGATCAGCATCAAATTTCTCCTTGTAATATCAATGCCTTGTAAAACGGAGTGGTCATGAGAATTACAGACATGATCACCCAAGATGAATTTGCTTGATATTTTATCAACTTCTCCTCACTTCTGCTGTAGGAAATAAATAGGAGCAACAAATGAGAATTCAAATTTTGATCGTAGGGTTTGAAGTGTTGAAGCTAACAGGTTAGTGAAGAAATGTAAGAAAAAAGAAATGGAAAAAACCGAATGCTGATGTTAACAATTTTGAGGATATTTATCTAAAACATATGTATATACAACGTGACTTGAAACTCTAATTCGCCTGACAACAAATATTATTACATAGATGAAATTCTAAATATCGCTACCAATCAGATGTTTTAAGTGATGTAAACTGCCCAATTTTTTAAACTTGCTGCCAGGAATATTCAGGATATCATATAAATCTATGACAACGTCCTCATTTTGTTGTCCTTTGGGTTTAAAAATTTGCATGCCTAGTGTAGAAGAAATATTTCGAGTCATATTAACATGCATTAGTTGTAAAAGAAATTGTTCGAGTCTTGCTGTTTTGTAAATCTTTGATTAGTCATTTCGTTGTAGCGTGGGGAAAAAACCTTCCAACTAATTATCAAATAGGAATGTTCCTAAGTGATCGGCTTAGTGTTCATCTTTTCGTCCTCTTCTATCCCTCAGCAATTCTGTGCCCCCAAACAGTCTCAATTCCACCCATTTTGCACAATATTCAACTAGTTTTGCTAATATCATTGGAAAGGTCCCAACACTTTGACCTCCATTGTAACTGTGTTCAGTGTACCGTCACTTATTACGTTTTTTGTGACACTGCTGGTGTAGTAAGACACCAGGAGGGAATGCCAGAATAAGGATATACAACAGGATATTTTTATAAGGGTGACATTTAATAACAGCTGTAAAATGTAGTTCGTTAGTGTTATTTCTCATTTAAATGAAGCAATCCTATAAAGGTTTCAATTTCAAAAGCCTTAATTTGCGCATGAAAACTAAATCCTTTAGAATTCTAATAGTTTAAAGTCAAGTGTTATCATGATATAAATGGCCAACACTGCGCTATAACTTGCTAACTATTTTAGCAGTAATGGTAGTCAAATTCATATGAAGTTATGCTTAGAAGAAAACAAGTCAGTGGTACATATAATCAGTCATACTTGACTATTCAAAAATCTGCATTAGTAACAGTACTGAAACAGTAAATGGTGAAATATTGCTTCTGTTGAATACTGAAAATCGTTCAAAAAGGTAGCATTCGAAACAACATGTCCGGTCCTTTTGTGTTCTTACTGTTCGTGAAATAGCAATCCTATGCCCCAAGTACAACTTCTTGTCAGTTTTGGTCTTCGAAAAGACTGAAGTCTAGTAGCTCGCAATAGTTCGCGGGCTGACGTTCCACGGCCTCGATGTTCTCTTCGACGATCATCTCATCACGCGGTACTGATGCGTTCTCAACTTCCCCACAGGGAGTCTTCAGAGTATCTTCGATAGGTATTCCCAGTTTCTCTGGCTCTTGTTGTGAAGTTTCTAGCCACTCAGGGAAATAGTCTTGTTTGATGACTTTCGTTACCGCAATTTCTTCATTGCATTCATCGCAATCTTCTTTATTTTCCATTTTCGCGGCTATATTCTCAGTGCTGTCGTCCACCGTGCTTGGATACTGACCTCGCTTTTTTAACTAGAAGACCTTTTATTCACTTCATGTGCTAATTTACCATTGTAGATCACGTGGTCTTCTCTGGAGATTTGGGTGTTGATTACGTGCGTCCTGCTGACTCGTTTTGCGGAGGAGGCGTTCATCTTGATATCAAGCCATCACGTTATTGGGATTCCAACTAACCGGGCTGGGTTGTCTTGTAATCACAAAGTTGAGTCTTATTGCGTTTAATTAACCTGCTACTATCTTGGCAAAGCGAGCCAGCCCGGTTTTTGTAAGCAGCTCCTTAACCTCTCTCAACGATGCCAGTAAAAGGTGTATTCGCATTTAAATTTGACCAATTTCAAAAGACAGTAATCTCTTGGGTGTCGTGCCTCTAAAATGGGCAAGGATAGCGCGAAGCCAGTAAGAGGTGTTGTGTGCGCATGTGTGTATTTTTTGGTGCTTTCTGAAATGATGATCAATATTAATGGTATCATACAAAAGTGAAACAAACAGTCTCAACGCGATATTAAGATTGTTTGTTTGCCTTTTTTTGTGTTTTCACCGTATACTGAAAATTGTTACAATAACCATCGTAGTTAACCTGAGATCAGGCCTAGTTTCAGTCGCTCTCATACATTCTTTCTTAGGTGGGCGCGCTTTTAAGACATGGGCAAGAATTGGTGGCGTGGTAGTGGGGGGCGTGCCCCCCCTGTCTACTTAGTCGCTCTAAACGTGTCTCTATGAACCGAAAGTAAAGTCGGTAAAGTGGTAGAAGAAAGGAGGGGTGGGGAGGGTGGGGTATTTTTCTTCCGGAACTCTCTGCCGGGGTCCACCCCTGGTAGCATACGAATCTATTCTCGCAACACGACGTGTAAACCTTTCATCTTAATTTTGAGACATCTGCGAAGTTGTTCCACAGAAGTATTCTTCTCCCCAATGTGAAAGTTTTTATAATTTAGAAGTGATTCTCTACGCGTAGCGCGATGAATATACATCGACGTGATAAATGTACAGTCGGTGTGGTGTCGAAGATTTTACCAATATTATTCTGAAAATGTAAATGAAAGTGCTGTCTCTTTTGAAGGCAGAATTCTTGATAGAAAACTAACTTACAATAACAATAGCACGGGCAACCACAAACTTTATTGATTAAAATAATGTTAGATTTACAAGGTGCTAGTTAGTGTTTACATTAACTCAAGAATTTGCTTTAAACCTTAGCCTCAAGGGGCTGGTTGGCTCCAAAATTATAAATAAGCCCCGGATTATTTGGCCTCTGGATTGGTAAATATTGGCGACTGGCCATTCACCCTTAGGCAACTAATTTGAAATAGTCGCAGCAACTTTGTTATGACACGAACGGGGCGAGTGTATGTTATGTCTTGCCTCTACCTTATCGTGCGTCTACCTCGAAAAAAAAGCGAAGGAAACGTTCGGGGCAGCTTAGTGTCTCAAGTTCTTTAGTCTTACATTCCCCACTTATTAAAATGGCAAATATTAGTCTATAACTGTGCATTATAAGTCTTTAATCAAAATGATCGAGTACGTGTATCTCGCGTATCACAGGCGGACGTTCCTTAGCCTCGATCTCCTCCTCTTCAACAAGAACTTCATCCTTTGGGACTCTTTCGTCAGTCTCCAATTGCTTTGTGGGAGTCTCAAGAATATCTTCAATAGCGACTCCTGTTTTCTCTTGTTCTGGTTGTACAATTTCCAACCAATCGGGGAAATACTCTTGTCGCATACCTATCGTTGCCACGATCTCTTCTTCGCATTCATCAAGCTCTCCTTTCTTCATTTCGTTCTCAGCTTGTTCAGGCGATACTGAGCGCTTTTCTTTTTTCTCGTCTATTCTCTCAGCCTCGTTCTCAACGCTGATATCGGAATGGTTGGCATGTTCGGATTCCGACCCTGCACTATCTTGGTTCATCTTGGCAGTTTATTCCTTTCTTGAAACCCCGTATAACCAAACTATGTCAAAAATATTCAGACTCCAATAAACAATATCAACACCAACGAAACGCGCAATAACTACGAAATGCAGAAGCTTTCGCAACGTCGCGGAAGAATTACCTTTTTTTTTCAATGTTAGCTGTCTCGTGCTTTTTAGTAACCGTCATTGCGCTTTGTACACTGCTCTGATTCTAATGAACGTTGTCGGATGTTAAGAGCTCATGCAAGCCTACGCGACACGACCGTCAAGTTATGTGATTAGCTGTACATCCCTTAAAATGTCGTCTTTTATTAATGATCTCTTGATTTTGGTCGTTTTAGATAGAATAATCTTGCTTCATGGTTTAGTTTCGGTATTTCTTAATGACATTTTCTATACTGCTTCGCTGTCTCGTTGCTTAGACTTTTTCGACAATATTAATTGAAACAGTTGTATAATAAACTGGGAATCAAACTTGTTTAGATAGTCGGTTAGCAGGGCTTCCTAGCGAAGATTATAAATCATTAGCAATAATGTTTGAAAATCATTCCAAATTCTAATTTCCATGGTTTTTATTTGCAAGGAAGTTATTAAGCCAAAACCACGCTTATTCTGCCACGGAAAAACTATTTCAACGGCTAACACCACGATTTAGTGAACAAGCCAAGATTATCTAAAGCTATACGGCAACAAAAACGTACAACAACAAAACGAGTTGAATAGCGTTGTTGCTCCTTTTACTACCCAAGATTCAAACCTGTCGTGCAACAAATAAGGTTTTTGCAGGTTGCGTGAATGCTGACTTCTGATTGGATAAAATTTCTCATATACGGGAGTTACGTCACTTGCTGCAAAACAAGTTTGCTTTGTGCCGGTAAAACGCGCAACAGATTTTGTTGCAAAAAGTAGAAGTATTCTCTACTTTCTGCAACAACGTTTTTATAACCTGCAACAACTTGAATTATGGCAAGTCAGGCTTGAACGTGGCTAAAAAAGAAACGCGCAACATAGCCTTCAACTCTATTTGCACAATGCTGCAAAACAAGTTGCATGTTTCCGTTGCCCCTTTTACCGTACCTATCCAGAACTCTTTTTTCTAGCCTTTTCCAGACGTTCAGAGTGCGAAGTCAGCCTCATACCTACCTGTGAAAATTACAAACCTTTTGTGGGCAGCACTATAGACAAATAATAGCATGATTTGTACGCGATATTTGGCATAAATACCACTTGTGATATTTCAAAATTGTCTCAAATTTCACTCGCCTAACGGCTCGTGAAATTACGTATAACAATTTCGAAATACATCACTCGTGGTATTTATGCCAAATATCACTACAAATCATGCTATTACCTATACATATCTCTTTCCTTCGTACCCAGTATCTGAACGCCTGGAACAGACTTCCTCAGTCATTGCCTTCCTAACTTTGGGTGGATACTAATAGTACCTTCTTTAACAAAACTATTTCGCAAGTTAAGGTCTCGTTCTGCAACGGAATTAACCGGACAAATCACTCCACCATTCAAGAACATATGAGCCCTGCAAGGGCCCGTTTCTCGAAAGTCCCGATAACTTTTCGGGCCCGAGAACCTGTCTTATGTTTGCCGTGTTTGCGTTTCAATAATCAATAATTTTGAAAATAATACAATGAAATTATCTGTGAACGAAGGAAAATTGACCGGTTTGTGAGCTAGGAACTTTGCTACTATTCGGCTGGTCTTGATTTCAAAATTTGCCTTCAGACCCGAAAAGTTATCGGCCTTTTGGAGAAAAGGGCCCCAGTAATCCATGTTCCGCCCCCTCCATACCTATTCCCCAGCCGGCTTTAACCTTTTCAGTCGTTTTTAAGTTTCCTAGTCCCTGTACGGCGTTTTCTCAGTCCCTATCGGTCAATTCATTTCGGTGACGTATCCGAGGCGAACGGGTGAGAAACACCCTCACACCCGCTTGCTTTGCTTGCTTGCCTCGCTTTGGCCGCGCGGAATAATGAGGCTTAGGGACTACCCTTTTCTTCCAATTCTTTTCTTAAATATTAACCTATTGGGGTATCAAGGGACTGTGAAGTCGTCCCTGTCTCTCGTTAAGTTTTTGTAGCCCTATTTTACAAAGGGGTTCAGAAAGCGTAAAAAAATTAAATCAGGCCTTATCCACAGCCACTGCATTTTAAATTGGAATTTCGGAGGGCTTTATTAGCCATTGTGAAGTTTAAACAGGGTATCAGTGCGATTTTAAAAATTTAAAAATCTGAACAGGTTTCTTTCTTCTTTTTTTTTTTCAGTTTTTGCCGAAGGGCACACAAAATAATCATCGCGGTGTTTAGCTCTTCTTTGCGTCGATGACGTCAACAAGTCCAACACGTAGGGCAAAATGTTTATTAGTGTGCAGTTGCGCACCGTCTTGAAACTGTTCCGTAAGAAGGGGAAGACGCCAAAAAAAAATTCCAGTAATTTTAACTCGCCCCTTTATTATAAAGCATTCTTTAAGTGATTTCACTAAACACAAACCATTGTTATCAAAGTTAAATACTTGAGCAGGTTTTCTATTTCTCCCAGAACATTATTCCTAACCTTAAAATATTTTTAATACCCCAAGTAGGTCTCCTTAATGCCGATTTAGACGGCACGATTTTTGCTTACGAGTATCGTGCGCGATTAGCATATGTCATGACTTTCGCGACAGATCGTGTCGTGTAAATTAGACACACTACATTCGTATTACAAATGTGGATGTCGTAAGTGAAATTGTGCGCGTGTGGATAGTCGAAAGTCATAACGTATGTCAGTCGCGCATGATAGTCGTAAGAAAAAATCGTGCCGTCCAAATCGGCAAATAGAAAGAGAGGAAGTAGAGAGTGATTCTGCTGCGAAATGAAGGCAACTGAATATTGACACTCCTCTGATAGAAAAACAACTATGAACACAATCTAACAGTGGTTAAAAAAGATAGAGTACGAAATAGCGTTAACGTATTTTCTCAAACTTAGGCCATTACTGAGTTGCCTTAAGCCTCTGTTTCAAAGTGAGGCTAATTGCTATGATGTGGAAATGATGTTTTATTGTCCTCCAAAAAAACCTCATCAGTTTTCAGATCAACAAAGGTTTTGCACTTAGCCTAGTTTTGAAAAAGAGAGTTTTTGGAACTCGGAAATGGCCTGTCGAAATGGCCATGGAAGGCGTGGCAGCACATTTGAATATAAGAAAAACTGATCGTCCGCGGTTCAGTATTAGAGGATACGTCGTGTACTTAATGGAATACCTTTAGTATAATTTCATGCCGTTGTAAGGGTTGTTATTCCCACCAGAATAATATTTGTTTAAGAGTATCGTTTAAAAATTATCGAATAATATGGGTGCTTGTATGTGTACTTCATAGCATTTTCATTCTTTTTTCTCATTATTTTTGCTTTTTTGGAAGTGTGCGCGCAAAATATTTAGTCATTGTATCTGTCCGCTTAGTCCTTGGTGTTCTCGGCTCGGTCAAGCCTGGACTCCACCTTGTGCTGTGACGTCATCGAAAAAGACGCGCCTAGTTCCCCCATTTCCCAGACTTCGTTCAGACAACGGCGCAAGGGAGAACGCTTCGGGACTAAGTTTTGTATGTGTAGTTACTCAATGCCTCTGGGGTAGCTATTCTTTACGATCTATTGAAGTCCAAAGGATTTAAAATCTGGTGCTTCGGAGAAAACCTGTGGTTGGCGTTCCACCGCTTCGATTTTCTCCTCGAAGAACAATTCATCTACAGGAGCCGATTCCTGCTGCACTTGTAGTGTGGGAATCTCCAGAAGGTCTTCGATAGGGACTCCCACTTTTTCTGGCTCAGGTTTTGGAGTTTCCAGCGCCTTCGGGAAACGCGCTTTTCTTGTGACCTCCATAACAACAATCTCTTCTTCAAACTCATCGTATTCCTCTTCCTCTTCCTCCTCCTCCTCTTCCTCTTCCTCGTCTTCGTCGTCATCATCAGCTTCTTTGTCAGCCAGAGGCGGTGTTGATTGGACTTCTGTTTTCTCTGATCCTTTGATTTCGTCTTTTTTCTTCTCGTTTTCTCTGACGATATTCTCAAGGCTAAGAATTGAAATATCCGGCTTTTCCCGTGTTGCCACTTCCGGGCGGATCTTGCTCTCGTTGCCTTTCTCGTCCGGTTCTTTCATTTGTGATTTATAACCACCGGGATATTTCAATTGAACACTTATGTCCGATAGTTCTGGATTTTTACGTTTTTCCTCGGGCGACTTACTTTCTTCCATCCACTCGGGCACATCAAATTTGGATTTATCTTTCCTGACAACCCAAATCGGCTGTTCGCCTTCACCTCTGGAAGACGTCGTAGAGTGTTCGACAACACTTCGGTTCTCGGGTCCCCCAATCGTCTTGGTCACTACAGTCCTCTTGTATACTGAACTATAGCTATTGCTTTCGGTCTTACCTCCTGGAGACCCTGTTGTGATGGTGGTAGTGTAACCTTTATTCTCAACCGTCTTGACGTCGTGTTTGGGAAATGCCTCTCCTTTGACTTCAAAGTTAATCAAGCGCTCCCCTCTTGCTTTGGGTGTAGTATCAAAATCTAAAAATACATCTCTTTCTTGGAGTTTCCTAGGCTGAAACTCGCTGTTTTTGTCTTGGTCATTACCTCCTACAGTGATCTCTGTGGTTTCGGTCTTGACGTTGTTGGTTCCATCCCCGCTTGAACCACTTCTTGTAGAAATCGTGGTGGTAATCGTTTTCTTCACAATCCGACGAACCCGTCGACCATTTTCGTCAACGTACTCCACCACTTCGGATCCGTCATCTTCCGAGTTTTCTTTGGTCATTTCCAAAATGTTCCTCGTGCGATTTTTCGGTGAATCTTCGTCTTCTTCGTTGTGATTCGTTTCAGGAGTGTCATCGTCTTTTTTCACTGTTTCCTCGCTTTCTTTGATCGCGTCTTCCGGTTGTTCGTCTGGTTTAAGCAACCTTACGTTTTCCTCAGTGTGGTTTGGGGATTTTTCATCGTCATAGGAAACCTTTACCCTTGTTTTTTCTTCCGGCTCGCCTCGTAAACAACAAGGACAGCAACATCTTATGATGGCTGAGGAAACATAACAAGAAAAAATGTCATTAAATATATGTGGCTCTTTCTAATGTTTTTTTTTCCTGGGGATGGGGCGGGGGGACTATCTATTATAGTCAGCTCTCTCCAAGATGGACAATAACATGGACACCTTTGGGACCAGGACTAAGTGTCCGTCTAAGACTATAGTTGACTCTCTCTTAACGGACACCTCGGTAAAAAGGACACCTAGAGTTGGACCCTGCCTTTCTTAATCCCCTATATTTGACTCTCTATATGACGGTCCCAAAGGTGTCTGTAAAGGAGAGAGCTGACTGTAATATCCATCTCACAGAGAGAAGAATAAAGGGAGTAGAGAGTTGTCAGGGACCAACTCCAGGTGTCTGTTTTACCGAGGTGTCCGTTAAGTGAGATTCGACTGTACTCTTCTGTATGGACAAAGTGGTCAACAAATGGCGCGTCACCCAAAAGCCTGGTTACTCAAGCGTCTTCTATCGCAAAACCAAGAACCCTTGGAACCGAACATTTGTCGTAAATAAAGGTGTTTAGGTGCTGTAATACCTCATGAAAGAAGAAACTCAGAAGTATCGATAATTCCTTAGTTTGAATTTTGGTGACGTCATGTGAAAACCCCCAATTAGCTTCCTCATAATAACTGCACCATTCGAATAAGTGCTCTTTTCAAAACTTATTCAGCTAATCCTCCATAGCGCTGTACAATCATTATGCCAATGTAGAAATCAAAATGTGAAAATACCGAGATAAACATGTACAAGAAACAAAAGTCTAAAATCTAAAAATACCAAGATAAATTTATGGAGCATAAAAGTATAAATACGTGTACTAAAATACAGTTAAAAATCATAGGCGTCATTAAAAACTTGGTTGCATACCGAAAGATACGTTGTAGCCAAATGTCGGTTGTGAGGTACTGGTTATTTTGACTCCACTACACAACATCAACAGACAAAACGTAATGGCAAATAAGTTTAACTGGCATAACTGGCACACGGAACACGGTAGTAGCACAGAGGCTAAACAAAAAGAAAAAACTCCTCACAACTGGTCGATCTCGACCTGAATCCCCCAAATAAGCACACAGGCTTAGTGCCAGTTAGGCTGCCAGTTAGGCTGGGGAAACTAATTAATAAAACTCAGAAAACGCATAACTGGCACGAGGAACACGGTAGGAGCACAGAGGCTAAGCAAAAAGAAAAAACTGCTAAAACTGGTCGATCTCGACCTGAATCCCCCAAATAAGCACACAGGCTTAGTGCCAGTTAGGCTGGAGAAACTAATTAATAAAACTCAGACAACGCATAACTGGCACGAGGAACACAGTAGGAGCACAGAGGCTAAGCAAAAAGAAAAAACTGCTACAACTGGTCGATCTCGACCTGAATCCCCCAAATAAGCACACAGGCTTAGTGCCAGTTAGGCTGGCAGTTAGGCTGGAGAAACTAATTAATAAAACTCAGACAACGCATAACTGGCACGAGGAACACGGTAGGAGCACAGAGGCTAAGCAAAAAAAAAAACTGCTACAACTGGTCGATCTCGACCTGAATCCCCAAATAAGCACGCAGGCTTAGTGCCAGTTAGGCCGGGGAAATTTAATAAAACTGTGATCAACGTATAACTGGGACCGGGAACACTTCAGGAGCACAGAGGCTGAGTGCCAGGAAAACTGGGAATTATCTCCACTAATGTACCCAACAAGGCACGTAGCCCAATAACCAGTAAGACTGCCATAAAAGGCTAGGGCGGGACATTGAGGGTAAACAATGAATAACGACCCTGGCTAGAGGTCTGTAACATTGCCTGCAACCTAACTGCGTCAAACGAGACTTACGTCGCCTCCTAAAGAGCGGTTCCGGGACAGCTGACCTAAGCATACATGGAAACTAAATATATCAAGTAAAGGAGCAGGTGCAAAACTGAGATAACTAGTGTACAAGTACGTAAAATAAGAAACGGGAAAAAGGCTGAAAACTAGCAGAGCTGAGCTACCGCTTACAAACTGAAGTAAATGCGGTCAGACGGAGGCCAGAAAAAACCTGCCCAAAAAAACCCCGAAGGGAAAAAATGCGGGCAGGAAATCTGGGTAGGAACCAAGGCTCAAGCTCAAAGCCCTTCCTACGGGACTTTACAATGTAATCGAGAATATGTTGCTCCTAAAAATAAATAAAACAAAAATTTAAGAAAAACCAAGGAGAGGTTGGTTCGTAAGCCTAGATGACGAACACGTGATATACGCAGCCTTATATACCCCCGATATGGCTACCCATGGTGCACCCGGCCTAGTACCCAGGCCCTGTTGTATCTCGTGCCGTCAAAATATTTATTTCTGCCTTCTTCGCGGGCTCATTCGTCAGAAATTACATTTTTCTCGCGTGCGACGAAGAGCTTTGTCGGCCACAGGCCGACACGTCTTCCGCCTTCGGCCGAAGACACGAGCGGCGAAGACTTGACCGGAACCGGAAACCGCGCTTGAAAAGCCTCTGGCACCCAGGGTAGTTGTGAGGTCGAAATCCTGAAGAATGAAATAAGGGCCGCTCCCCCCTCCTCGATTTAGCGTCAAAAAATTAAGATAGTTCCGAATTTAGAATAATTTAGAATCTCCGAAAAAATGACAGTAAAAATTGAGCAAACTCTAGACGTCTCTTTTGGACATAAACATGCATTTCGCCAATAGTCTTGCTTCAGAAATGTTCCCGTCGGCAAAAATTAAATGATCCGTCTCTAAGAAGGTCAAACTGCGGAATAATGTCAATTTAAGGAAGTTTGGACAAGTTTCAAATAACGGATCGAAAACAATAGGTCTTATTATAATCGAAACGAAGGAAGAAAATATAAATTAATTAAACTCGAAAGTTGGGAAGTTGTACTGTTTGTCGCACTTTTGATGATGTCAAGTTTGTTGGATTTTAGGTGACCGTGTCTCTATACACTGCATGCAAATAACTGAGCTTTTTTGAGTGAGTCCACTGACTTGCATTGTCTGATATGCGAAGGTTGAAGGAATGCAGTCTCTTTGAGTAAATTGAGCTCTAGTGAAAGTTGGTAGAGGACACTGAATATATGCTTCTGCTTAAAGCTTTTTGAAAAAGATGAAAATCCTGCTTGATAAACTTGCAGCGCAAAGCAATAAATTGCTCACTGGGAAAGCGTGCTTTAGGCATGGAAACTTACAAACAAAGTTGTATTCGGTACTGAATTATACCCGCGTGACCAGTTGATACGCCCATTACGGTGAATTAGCTGATCAATGTTAAGCCTACACATCGTTTGTTTATACATAAATGCCGAACCATTAGTTTGTTTTGAAATAACTTGTTCTAATATGAATTTCAAACTCAACTCTAAAATGCTCACCTAATGGGATCCCAAAACGATAAGCTGTCTTTTTCACAACATAACGCCACCATGCAGACATTTTGGTTGAATGTTAATGTTGGTGACGTCATGTGAAAATCCCTAATTAGCTCCCCCCATAATAACTGTACCCTTCGAATAAGCGCTCTCTTCGAAAAAGCACCCTAATAATAATTTAATAATTTAAAAAAATAAAACTTATTCAGCTATATCCAGCTTATCTTCCATAGCGCTGTACAATCATTATGCCAGTGTAGAAACCAAAATGTGAAAATACCGAGATAATTTTACAGAGCTTAAAATTGTAAAAACATGTACAGGAAGGACCGTAAAATTCCGAAAGTAAGCCCCGGGGCTTATATTTTTCAAAGGCCCTTTTTGAGGTGCTTATTTTGGAGGGAGATTTGAGTTTCAAAATCGATTGGGCTAGCCTTATAGTTGGAAATAAATTTACCGTTTCTGCTTTGTATTACTTTGTATTTGAGGGGAATTTTCCAAATACAACCCCCCCGGGGGCTTATATTTGGAGGGGCGATTTAACGGAGGGTTTTTGCGTTACCGGTTTGGGAGGCTTATATCTGGAGGGGCTTATACGTGGAGGGGCTTATTTTCGGAATTTTACGGTAAAAGTTAAAAGTCTAAAATCTAACAATACCAAGATAAATTTATGGAGCATAAAAATATAAATTCGTGTATTGAAATACGGTTAAAAGTCATAGGCTTCTTTGAAAACTTGGTTTCTTACCGAAAGATACGTTGTTCATTCCTGTTAAATGTTACAGTTTTTCTTTTCATTTGCAACCGAGCCGAATGTCGGTTGTGAGGTCGAAATCCTGAAGAATGAAATCTGAGCCGCTAGCCCCTCCTCGAATTAGCGTCAAAAAATTAAATAAGCGCCCCGGTTGCTAATTCGAGTATCGAAGATAGTACCGAATTTAAAATAATTTAGAGTCTCCGAAAAAATGAAACTGTAAAAATTAAGCAAACTCTAGACTCTTTAGAACATAAACATGCATTCGGCCAATATTCTTGCTTCAGAAATTTTCCCGTCCGCAAAAATTAAATGATCCGTTTCTAAGAAGGTCAAACTGATTTTGAATAATGTCAATTTGAGAAAGTTTGGACAAGTTTCAAATAACGGAACGAAAACAATAGGTCTTATTACAATCGAAACGCGTGGAGGAAAAAATCAATTTATTACACTCGAAAGTTGGGAAGTTGTACTGTTTGTCGCACCTTTGATGTTTTGTCAAGTTTGTTGGATTTTAGGTGACTGTGTCTTCATACACTACATGCAAATGACTGAGCTTTGTTGAGTGAATCCACTTGCATTGTCTGATATGCGAAGGTCGAAGGAATGCAGAGTCTTTGAGTAAATTGAGCTCTACCTAAAGTTGGTAGAGGACACTAAATATATGCTTTTGCTTAAAGCTTTTTGAGAAAGATGAAAATCCTAGTTGATATACGTGCAGGGCGAAGCAAATCTGCTAACCGGGAAAGCGTGCTTTAGGCATGGAAACTTATAAACAAAGTTGTATTGCGGATTAACTGCACGAGTGTGCTTAAGCACATCTCTAAAAGACACGCAAACCCAGCTATGAACAAAATATGAATTTCTGTACCAAAAGACTGCCGGTAATCATGAGAGATGTATCAGAACTAAAACCTACCTTTCATGATTGCGAATCGCCGTTTCAGAGGAGTGTGACGAGTACTACCGCTAGTTTGAAAAATGATCTGCGGAAATCCAGTGAAAGGGCGGGCGATGAATAGATTCCTTAAATAGATTGTTTATGAGGCTCTAATTTAAGCCAGGTTATGCCTGTCTGATATTTCGTGATCTGACTATCACGTGGAAAGGTCCATTCCAAACGTCGCTTTCTCAATTTATGTACGTTTCCGAGGCGCGGTTTTACAGTCTTTGGTTGAATAATTTGCGAAATTTTAATTTACAAGTCATTAGCAGTATCATGGGCGTGCAACTAAAAATAGCGTGAATTATTTCTTACTTGATTTAAGAATAGAAAAAATATATCCGTAGATCGTTTTTTGGAACTCAGAACATGGAACTGGGAGACATTGTAACGATTCACAGCTAGACCCTGACAGTTTTAAGGACGGTAGAACTTTCTATGGTACAGTGCCCCCTTAAATTTGCATACGTCTTATCCCGGTATAGTGTATTCATGTATTGTAATGTTAAGTTATGTTTACACCCCGTTTTAATTGTTTTTTGTAAGATTATCAGTTGTGCCGGAATACTAGTAAACCGTGACGTTGGGTGGTAATCGATTCATACTGAGACGCAATGAAATGACTTGTGTTTTCCTTTTACTCTATTTAAACTTATGAGGAAGTTAACTTTAGAGCAAAAATGGTCACCGTAGGTTTGCTTTTCGTTCATAACTAAAGACATGTATGTATTTTAAAAATCTTGCATGCGAAACTAGAACATTCAAGATTTATACTGTTTACTGATAGCTAAATTCTTGTAGCCCTCTTTGGAATTTTAAAAACGAGGGGCGGTTGATATCGTAGGGAATTATAAACTTCAGAAGCTCACACGGAAATACCAACACACACACACACAGACACACAAACAATAAATTAATGCTATTAATTGGTCCTTCTCAAAGGAGGTACCGATCTTGGTGACGTGACGTTAACGTTTGTCCGATCACGGCCTATATTATCGTTTGTTTGACGGCTCAGCCTTCTAGAAAGTGGACACGGTGTTAAAGCCCAGCTCTGTGTTAGTCCCTGTTCGGCTTGAAAAAAAGTTCACTATATTTACCCCTTTATGCTGTAAAGGCTTTGAAAGTGAAAGAAACTCCCAAAATCTAAAAAATTAAACTTATAGTACCATAAAAGAGTAATGTCAAAAAGGTTTCGTTTGAATTGTCACATCACACTGTTTTCTTTTACAGGCTCTCAGTAAAGTTATAACAGACTTAGACTTAAGGGAAAAGGTCCAGTGTAACTAAGGTAGTATTGCAAAAAGGCTTTAAAAAGAATTTTACTTATTTATCTGACTGATATAAACCCTCCTGCGGTCAGCTGGTTCTAAAGCGTGGACAAATATTTGAAATCGGTGTTGTGTAAACTGACGCATAACATTATTCATACTTCAAGGTGAAGTGTGTGCTTTTCATGAACAAGTCGGTTGCATTGATTGTATTGCCGGTTAATAAGTGCAGCATAGGTAAATCTTTGGACTGGACTTGAGTAGATAACCGTTCTTAAAGGGTCGTACTGAATTATACCGGTTGATACGCCCATTACGGTGAATTAGCTGATTAATGTTAAGCATAATACATATTACTTACACATCGCTTGTTTATACATCAATGCCGAACCATTTGTTTTGAACTGAATAACTTGTTCTAAAATGAGTTTCAAACTCAACTCTAATATGCTCACCTAATGGTATTCCAAAACGATAAGCTGACTTTTTCACAACATAACGCCTCCTTGCAGACATTTTGGTTGAATGTTAGGTTTTATTTTTAGCACAGTTTTAATCAAACTCGTGATTTGGATCGATGCGCATAATTTGTTGTTAATAAAACAAATCAGCACTACCCCTCAAATCTGCACCTCTGTTGTACAGAGCGCTTAATCCCTCCTTTTAAAAGCCTGGGATGAACATTTGGTTTTAACCAATTGCAAGCCAGTTGACTTTCGATTTTTCTTGGTCGTCTTGGTTAGCTTTTTGTAGCTCGTTTCCAGGGTGCCCCAGGCTGAGGGCAAACAATGTAAGAAATCTTGTAAGAGTTAGTGGGAACATTATACGTTTCTGGGAAACTGTCCACCTACCCCTCCCTATAAGCCAACATTAATTCTTAACCCTTACTTCTCACTAAGGGCAACATGTTTGCTTAGGGGAGGGGTAAGTGGATAGTTTCCCAGAAACGTATAAAGATCCAAGAAGTTTCTGGAAAACTGCCCACCTTCCCCTCCCCATATTAGACAAACGCTGTTTGGGCCGCCACTTAGTGTCCGTCTTAAAGGAATGTCGTCTTGCAGCGAAACGGACTTAAGGATGACAGAGATAGTATTCACTTCACTTAGAGGCCAAACTGTCGGGAGTAAAAAATCAATTCAATTTTCAAATTATATTTTACAAAATGCTGACAAACAAATAGCACCATGAGAAAGTGCTACCAGAGATTTTTCATTTGAATGGTCACACAATAAGGTTTCATCCACTCAAGAAGCACAAGACCTCATCTTAGAGAGGTACTCAAGGCTATATAAAGAGATTCCAAATTTTGATGATACGCGATGCTCACCAGTATCGCCCCATGTAAGGGACTCAGGATTCCGGAATCTCGGAAAATTTTGCTTATGGAATCCGGAATACAGCTCAAGGAATCCGGAATCCATCTAACGATTGGAATCCAGGATCCTACTGACAAACACTGGAATAGAGTACCTGGAATCCGGAATACAGCTCAAGGAATCCTGAATCCCACTAAAGATTGGAATCCAGAATCCTACTGGCAAACACTGGAAAAGAGTACCTGGAATCTGGAATACAACTCTAGGAATCCGGAATCCTACTAGCGATTGGAATCCAGAATCCTACTGACAAACACTGGAACAGAGTACCTGGACTGATCAGGAGTACAGCTCAAGGAATCCGGAATCCCACTAAGGGAAAATTAAGAGACGTAAATTTCGATTGACAAATAATTTAATTAGCGATTTTCTGTTTTTACACACGGCCTCCTTGAAAAGCAGGTGTTTTCTTTTCATCTTTATTATTTTAGTTTTTATCTTAGATTTTAGATTAGTTAGGAAGCTAGTTTTTCTATACTTCAATGTAAATGTATACCTGAAGGAAATACCGTGTTTAAATAAAGTTACCTTACCTTACCTTACCTTACCTTACCTAATCCAGAATCCTACTGACAAACACTGGAATAGGGTACCTGGAATCCGGAATCGATGGAGTGGAATTCAGAATCCAAGACCATCCTGGATTCTCTTACATGGGACTACCAGTTCCACACAGCTTCAAATGAATTAAGGGCGTTTATGTCAAAAAACACTCTCCAG